TTTTTTTTTTTTTGCCTTGTTTTTTTTTGCATTACACAGATTTCATCTTTAAAAAGTTTTCCAAAAAAATGTTTTCTAATTGAAAATGTAAATTTGTAGTCAACGTCTTGTTTCTTGAACATCTAAGTAATTTTTTTTTTATTGTACTAGTAATAAGAAGTTCCTCACCACGTGTGCCCGAGTAAATTGATGTATACATGTTTTGTTTGAGGTGTTATCCAATACTTCTGTCTGTCTGTATACAAGCATAGAGTGTTGTTAATATGATTCGTATTTATTTTTAAAATTTTGACTTCTGAGAAAAATGTATTAGCGTTTAGAAATTTTACTTGCATACATTCCAGATGTGTTTCGATATGAGCTTCAGGCCTGATTGTATAATCCTGCAATGGAATATATATATATATCTCCCAGTTGATACGATGTTCCAGGGCTTGTATTTCCTATCATGATTTCCTTGATAGAGGGTTGCTACTCACAAAAAACATATTAAACCAAGAGTTCCAAGTGGTGAAATTGAAATTATCCCTTCGTAAATTTTACGGACGCCTTCACGAGTTGTTGACCGCTTGAGTAAGACCTACCAGTTTAGACTTATTACCAGGTTTGTGCTAACATGAATTATACGACGGGTGCCACATTTGGAATAGGATCTGCTTAGCCTTCCGGAGCTCCTGAGATCACCCCAGTGTTAGGTGGGGTTCGTGTTGCTCAGCTTTTAGTTAACTATGTTGCGTTTTGTGTACTATTGTTTGTATGATGGTCTTTTTCTTTTAAAGCAATGGCGTTGTTATTTTATTTTCGACTTATGAGTTTAAATGTCTCTTTGTTATCTATCGCCTCTCTTTTACATTGCTCAACAAAGATAATAAGCTACATCACACTTTAAAATTGTAAGAACAGATCTTAATCTTTGATGGTAATCAAAAAGCTGTGATAACAAACTGAAAATTAAATTCATAAAATTTACTGATACAGTAACGGCCAACTTCGGGCAATATTGGCCCAAATCGTTCAAGTGCGCATGCGTTTAATTTCAAGGGGCAAATTCCTATTAATACAACATTAGTGGTAGTGTAATGATTTTTGCTGTTCTATAGAATTTCTACATTTTTTTTTTTTTTTTGGTTGAAAGGAAAATAATTTTAAAAAGAGGATATGGTATGATTGCCAATGAGACAAGCATCCACGAGAGACCAAATGACACAGAAATTAACAACTATAGGTCACTGTACGGCCTTCAAAAAATGAGCAAAGCCCATACCACATAGTCGGCTATAAAAGGCCGCGAAATGACAAATGTGAAACAATTCAAACGATAAAACTATCGGCCTAATTTATGTACAAAATAATAAACGAAAAACAAATATGTTACACAGCAACAAACGACAGAATGCTTTAACCAAACATCATTATTCTTGTATTTTTATCAAAACCAAAGTGTGCAAAAGGATTTGAATACCAAGTATTCAACTTCTTTGTAGAACCATTTTTGTTCTGTTCACTAATGGAATTCATTTAATATAAATTGTATTACACCCGTTCGTTGATAGGTCGCAGGTGAGTTTGACATAATCTATATCAAGGACATAAGTTCAGTAATGAACAAGGCTTAATTTTGTATGGATCGAAAAAACTTAAATATACATGAAAGAGTTATATTCTTTATCTTTGATTGCTTCTGGGACAGAAAATTCATTTAAAAATTTGCCTTTGACTTTGTAATTTTTACTTGCCTTCACCTGGAATCCTTGAAGTCTGTAATGGATGATTGATATGATCATACACATCGACGAAAACTCTCGGCTACCAATGGGTTGCAATTTAAATATCTATTTGATATATCTCTCTCTCTATATATATATATATATATATATATATAGAAGTTGGTAGCCTCGAGGTTAAGATGAATGAGCCGAAGAGTTAAAGTTTTTTTTTGTTAGTAGAGGTTTGTTGGGCCGATCAAGGTTCGAATCCCTTTTTTTTTTCTTATCCCTATATATCTTGTCGTTTATAGTTTTTCTTATTTGGATTTTTTGTTGATATTTCTGTATTAAGAAAGGATTTTCCGTTTAATATTGGCTATTTCACGTATTTCAAAAGAAAATGATTACTTTCAATTTGTCCATTTTTATTGTTTTTGTAAATATAGGATGATTTCATATGTTTTAATCCATATCTTTTCAAAGAAATATTCGCAAATTAATATGAGAGTAAATCGGTATATACATATAATTTTGTGTTTTGCTAGAATTTCGGTAACATACATATTACAATGTATTATATATACTTCGAAATTAGTTCGAACATGCCTTATTTTGTCAATTACGGATTCGTTATAATTTAATGGGAATTTTAGTAAAGTATACTGAAAGTTGATGCGATTTTGTTTTTAATTCCACTACTTGTATTCTACAAATTATTGATTGTTTCTTGTCAATCGTTCAAGATAATTAGATGGTTATTTAAACTCACTAATAATAGGGCATAATTAATGAAAGAACTGTAATTTTGAATAGACGTCTCAACAATAGTTTGAATAATTATTATAGACAAAATGAATAAAAGTTGATATTGATTTTAATCGATAATCCCTACCAATACACTTATTTCATAAAGACACTTACTGTGAAAGTACTTTTATTCGTGTCCAACATTCGTGTCCCATTGACACAAAACATGATTTGGCAATCTTAAGGTTGCCACAAGTTTAACTATGTTTGTGGCCACGATTTCTGAACGAATAAAATGCTAAAACCCTCCAAAGTATGAAAAATGGAAGGTTTGCAACGTTTTTTTCATAGAATAAGATTCCATAACTGCTAATGTCATGAAATTTATAAAAAAAAAGAAGGGATTTTATGTCTATATAAATACAAAATTCGCCAAAGATTCATGAAAATTGCTCAAAGCATCTTTCATTTATAGCCAGAGTAACCACCTATTTTTAATGAATACAAGCCCGTATCTCAGAAACGTAAAATTATTTTTTTTTAAATGAACAGGGAGCTTACATCAATATATATAAACAATTCACCAAAGTTTTCTTGAAAATTTGTGAAAGAGTTTTTGAGTAATTTTCCGAAGAATTGACTACGGACGGACAGACAACGATATACCACAATACGTCTTGTAAACGGGCGTATAGAATTATTAAAAACAAACACATGATTTACCGTTTAAAACCACAACGTATGTCTTCGGAGAACCCTTCATTCGATACGATATTTTTTTACGCAACATACATTTATTCTAAATCCAGTTGTTGACAACTTTGAAGATAGTATTATGTTTTTCTCGTATATTTATGATGGCATGATACTAAGCCCCTAACGGGAGGCACTATGCTTGATTTTCATATGATGAAAACATAATCTTTCAATCAGTTTAATTGAGGTCAGGAGCAGGAATGGCAGTAGTCCTTTGTTTATTTATGTTGATCATTGTCATTTTGCTTAGTTTCTTCTGCTACCTTTTCTAACATTGGACTCGAACTTCTTTTAAACTGAGTTTTACTATACGTATCACTGTGTGTTTGGTTTTTTTTTCACATTGGCTAGAGGTTAAGGGGGAGAGTTGAGTTCTGACAAAACATGTTTAACCAAGTCGCATTGTTGCGCTTTCCTATAAGTCAGGAACCTCTAGCCTTTGTTAGTCTTGTGTTTTTGTTTTTTATTTTTCATTTATATGTTTCGGAATTTAGTGTGGCGTCCATTTCGCTGATCATTATATTATACATGTATATGGTATGGGCCTGCTTGAGCCCGCGTCTGGGAGTAGAATTTTCTCGCTGCGTTGATGACCAATTTGTAGCCCTGGTCTTTCATCGGGTTGATGTCTCTTTGGCACATTCCTCGTTTCCATTCTCAATTCTATCTAGCATTTGAGCATCAAAAACTGAACAGCCGAAGTCGTTTAATTTCCTCAATAACATATGCTGTGTTAAAAAAACATAAACCGCTAACATCTGATCAACACATACTCTTGATCATGTTGATTTTGCTGTAACAGACGGGACCTTTTCAGTTTATCGTATAGAACCTTCTAGAACAGAAAAAAAAAATTAAAAACGTTGTGTTTTCGTATATATCTTTACCAGATTTTGGCATTTATTTTATATTATGTTATCGCTATTTTACGAAATTTTCCTTTGATCTTACTGACTGATATTTTTCTTTCTCAGCACAGTCGAGTGATATGAAAAATTATCGCTAGAAACTAAGGGAGCACGTGCCGTTGTCAATGAAATTAACAACGTCGCCATAGGTAAAATAGCGATAAACAGATTATCATTGGTCATCTCAACTCGATTGCTTTTCTCACTTTCGCCGTTTCGGCTCAAGTGAGAATATCAATCTCGTTGAGATGACCAACGATAATCTATAATTAATCAAATGAGATATTTATCTAATATGTAGCCACGTGCCTTATTCATTTTACTTTGACAATAATACTCTTCCTTGAAGACGAAAGTTGATCGATATCGTACCAGATGTTCAGAAAAATAAAAAAATGATGCCTTTAAACGATTGTTATTCGTTGGATTGCTGTCACATAGATGAATACTTCACATACCCTTTTATAACTATTTTATAAGTTTACAGAAAATTGATATGGATTTGAAACTTTTAACGAGCACTGTTTAATTGTTTTTACTTCGATAACACGGATAAAGTTTTATACTGTAATTTTGTCTTAAAAAATCAGATTTGAATGGTTGGATATTGATTGTTGTATTTGCAAATACATGTAGTACAAATTTTATTGATGTTTTACGACCATTAATATGACTTTTATGACACTTTGATTAATAAATATTTATTTTTTTATGTTCACACATTGCGAAGCAACAACGTTATAAACACTTTGAAAACAACATTCAATTTTTGTCTATTACTTGCGCCTAAAGTATTTGAATTTAAGATTGTATTAATCTCATTTCTAAATATAGAAATTAGTTGTATATTTAAAGTTTTGCTAAGTATAGATATTAGCTCAATTATACATGACAGGAAGTAAACAGTTATGGTAATGTTTATTTTTACGTAGACTAAATAGACACATACAAATGCAAGACAACGCATGTTAAAGGGAATAAATACACGTAAGTTTTAATACATATGTTTTGTCAGAACTTATAGTTATTTAGTTTCGTTTTTGAATTATTTGAATTTGTCCACTATATGTCAAATATATAGTAAAGATAGTAGCCTGTAATTGTTTTCAGAGACACGTGCCAGTGGTCTATGTATAGCATGATTGCTGCTTAAAAAAATGACATTACACATGTTATAAGTGTATCACCTCTCGGCATCTATTTGTGAACTGAATCAGATGATTCGTCTCTCAGCCAATAAAAAAACAGTATCTAGTATATATTCTTTAATAGTCTGAATAAAATAAACTTGTGGTTCGGGAGATCGAATCTCGATGTACAAAATTGGAAATTTCAATAACGGCTCCAGAGGGATGGGCGTAAAATTATTATATATCATGCTTAAAAAAAAGTAAAAAAAAATAAATATTATGCATATACTTATACTATTTTTCTTGACTATATCTGTCTATATGAGTAACATGTTCAGGGGCGGATCTAGCCATTTATAAAAGGGGGGTTCCTAACCCAGGATAAAGGGGGGAGGGGTTCCAACTATATGTCAACATTCAAATGCATTGATCGTCAAAAAAAAGGGGGATTCCAACCCCCGGACCCCCCCCCCCCCCCCCCCTGGATCCGCCACTGATGTTTTTCACGATTTACATGATTTTTTAGCAAAACATCGTCCAAACTTTTGATCTCCTCGCTACGCTACGCCGGGCGCCCCTGTGATTACAAGTTATATATATTCCAATACATTGGTATACTATCTCATCCACGTTTTGTACTGTTTTATTTTGTTTTTTCTTTTTCAGAATGATTATTGGACTTTATTGAAAATTATGGTAATAGTAGAGAAAACGTCACTGATATATATGGCCGTACCATGAAAAATTATAAGCATATTAATACGGCGATCGATATTCTACAGAATTTTTAAATTAGATGCTATTTCGAACTTTGTAAAAGAAATTTGAAATTTACAGAAGTCATTATTTTCATACATATTACTTCCGAGAAAGTTTTTTTCTAAAACAAGCTACGTAAAATCAATAACAACAGTGTTAATCCAGATATGAACATCAACGACATTCCAAGTGAGCTACTTCTTCATATATTATCATACGTACCCCAGAGTGATCTATTCACAAACATTGACCAAGTATGCGACCTATGGAAACAACTTGCATTTACATCGTGTCTCTGGAAACATGTTGATTACACGGAAATCTATGGAGATTATTCTAATACGTTTGGGCATATGCGCAGAATACAAAATTTTGTGAAAAGCTTAACCATAACTCCTGGTCATATCATCGACTTTTTCGGCTTTCAGAGAAAACTGCAGTTCGTAAATCTCAAGTCACTTGATGTTTCCGACAAACTTGTAGTATCTGAAGTTTTCTTTGATAAAATAATTCAACGATGCCCAAATCTAGAAAAAATAAAATTCATATCCGACAGTCGATTCAATATGGAGCATTGTTTAGAAAAACTAAAAGGACTTAATCTTACCGAGCTAGATATAGGATATTTCTACGGAACTCGCACTCTCGATGATGAATTAATTTCACTTCTACGAAAACAACCCGAATTAACGAAACTAGCTCTTCGTGGATGGAATACATTAAAAGATAGTTCTATTGCCTCAATTTTAAATGATTTTACGAATCTTAATTCTTTTTATCTCTTTAATGGGCAAACTTCAAATGACGCTTTCATGATTTCAGAAGGGGATCTTCCATTAGCTGAGCTTACAATTCATTCTAATTTACTCGATGACGAAGGACTTCAAAACATAACAGAGAGAACAAAAAATCTAAAACTTCTTAACATTGAACAAAGCCGGGGAATTACAGATTGCGGAATGGTACAAGTAACACAAAATTGCCCACGGCTTGAAAACATATCTTTCGGGAATACATATCCTTCAAACAGCGAAAACTTATCAAATCGGACACTTTTCGCAGTTGCCGAAAATTGCCGACTCCTAAAGTGCTTGTCAACGATTGGCTGTAGAAATATCGATGACGATGGTTTAATTGCAATTGCAAAATCATGTCGACATTTAACGTTCCTGACATTAAACGGATGTACGGAACTGCGGGACGAATCTTTGTTTGCGATTGGGGAAAACTGTCATTATCTTAGAGAAGTGGACTTCAGTAATTGTTTTAATATTACCTTCAGTGGCGTCTATTTTCTCATAAAATCATGCCCACACTTATACCGTTTGATTCTTTCCTTCTGTACTGGTATTTCGCATGCAAATCTTGGAGAAAGCTCTAAACTGATCAATGATAACATTATTATTTCCGAGTCACATTCTCACTTGAAGGAACTTATATTGCGATCTTGTACACATATCACAAAAGAAGCAGTTTTGATTTTAATCGACATGTGTCCCGATCTACGAAAACTAAGTTTATCAAATTGCTTAAGCGATTGTGATGATGATGACTTTCTATGCAGAGTTTTTGAAGCATGCCAATTTGTGACAAACTACAAAGTCTATAACAAAATGATATGTCGTCAAAATTATAACCGGACGGATCTATATTCACCTCGTTAAAAGTTAGCATTATACATACTAGGAGACAATATCCCCCCAACTACCAGGATATAAGTATGTACTGTAATAATATATGTCCTATGGTGTAGTAAATGTACTAAGCTATTGTGCACAGTGGAATAGTTTGTTATCATCACTCGTCCGTTTTTTAAGTTTAAGTTGAGATTATTTGAAGAATTTGGAAAAGAATTCGGATTAATGTAATTTAAGATATTTTAATATTCAATATGTAATCAACGGATTGAAATAAAACATGTCCAACCAACAACGCGCCATAACGTAGTCTAAATGAAACCAGATTGGTCTATAGAAAGATTCAGACCAAATCAAACGAAGTAACGCATTTAAATTTGACGGAAATCGTTGAACTTCACTTACGTACACACATGTACATCTCATCACTTTTTTCAACATGGTCACCATTACATGTACAATAATAAGACAATGAGAATGTTAAAAAAGTACATACATAAAAATCACCCTATATTCTCGCGAGATGTCTTCTAACTAACATTGTAGTTTAAAACGTCATTTGTATTAAGAATAAATTTATAGTTTACAGCGGTATTCTTTTTTTTGTTAATTTTCGTAAGCCTACAGATGTTTTGAAATTATAAATTACTTGACGGATATTAATGAAACTTTACACAATGTCATGTAGTTGTAGTACACTATAGCTAAAGATGTGCATGTAGGAAGATAGATAACTTCGTTAAATATTACAATATAGGGTAATATATAGTCTTGTTATGTAAGCGCAACTTATTCTAAAACGTTTATTGGATTTCAATGAAACTTTACATTAGTGTAGTATACTGTGTGCTTAGAAGTGCATAAGAAATAATAATGTAGTCTGGCAACTGTTACTTGAGTTAATTTTAATTTGAAGGGGAAAGGGGGAGGTGATCGTGATCACAGTTCTCGTTTGATCTGTATTAGAATTAGATTGAAATGAATCATTTTAAAAGAGGTCAAATGGTTTGCAATAAGTGATCATATTTATTGTATTGGGAATACATATCATTATAGTACAATTGTTATTAACGTTACTTATTCTAGAAGTATTTTTGTAGCGTCTGAACCATAAAAAACGTTTGATTTTAGCGATAACGTCTGCTACGTTTATAGACACGAACATCGCGATTTTCTTTACGTCGTCAGTAATAGCATCCTTCCTTGTTTTTCTCTCAAGATATGTCCAACATGACTTTTCAGAGGTAAATATTTGCGTACGTACTCTTTTTCCTTTCGATAGCCGTTTAAGGGGAAGTCCCAACTTTCTTGAAAGCAAAGTTTTCTTTCGTTATTTAGTTATGTTTTCACCACTCGTGCTTGCTACGATTACACTTAATGCAGTTCTTGCCGAATCAGATCTTGAAAATTTTGCCAGGTCGACTATCTCTTTAAGATCATTTGGAACAGCATTGCCAAGTTGAGTGTCCGTTTTTTCTTCAGGCTTCACGACAAACTTTAATTTTTCAAGCGATTGAACAGTTGGGGAATGTTTATTGTCTAAATACGTGGCCATTACTGCTACTCTTTTCTTCGGTGTTGTAGGGAATGCCCTCTTCATTGATTTTACAGTCCTGCTTTTCTCCATCTTATTCGAAAAAGTGTTTTTATTGTCATTTATAGTGTTTATAGTGGAAACTTTATTTTGAGTTTTCCTATATTTTCTTTTCCGTTCAGTTTCATAAAGTCGTTTATCAGCGTTAAACTGCCTTTCTTTTCTTTTTCTCTTGGCCGCGGAAGTTTCGGAATAACCACAATTGTGACATTTTTGTTTTAATGCATTCATTCTGTCATTTCGTAGTTTTGTTTACACCTTTCTCTGTTTTTCTGTGCCTTTTTCTCCTTCCACATTTCCAATCTCAAAGCAGACGTGCTTTTATTAACTGCAAATTAAAATCAGTACCAAAAATTTATGATTGAGTTTTAAAAAATGGAACGCTTGTGTATAGTGCTAAAAGATAGAAACGCATAAAAGAAATGCTCGTACAATTACGCACCCAAGGTTTACTCGTTTTAAAAACTTTGAAAGTTCTGCACCCAAGTTAAAATTAAAACATGCAATCTGTTCCGCGCCACGGTCGAGGGCAACACTTATCATTATCACGGAATAACAAAAAGGATCCGAAAAATCAGTAACATATAGATAAATCAAATTGTAGCTTAAAAAGTCTCTCTATATATATATAGTTGAACAATGCATGCACCAACAATCGACTAAGTTGTGCGCTTGTTCTGTGTGTTTTTATGGCGCCACGTTTTTTGTTGTTTTCACTATTCGACAGGTTGCCGCCGTAATAAATTTAATGCGTGTGACATCTTTTTCACCATTTTTTCAAACATTTTATTTTTTCGGAAAGTACGAATGCTATGGAGATTAATATAGATATTTTAAAAAGACTAGAAAAATAACATGTCTATATTAGAATTTCATTGTCGACAATCAAGTGCAAAACTAATTTAACATAGTTAATTTTAGTTACGACTGTACGTAGCGTTTTTTCAAAAAATGAACGTGTGACATTTTATTCACCAAATTCAAAAATTTAGCATCTTTTCTGTTTTTGTGTTTGAACTATTTTGCTTTTGAAATTAATTAATTACAGAAAAACAACATTATACTAGCTATATCATTTTCTCACCTGATGACATCATTTATCCGAATCATGTTTTCAACTGTTTTCGTTAATCTAAAAAAGTAGTTTCGGAAATGGAGATGGGACACAATGAAACTTTGCCGATTTGCCTGCCGAAACAGAATATGACGTCATTAGCCGTCATACAAATACGTCATAATGGGTTGCCATTTAATGGCAATTCGCGGCAAAAAAAAAATTAATGAAAATCGACAAAAAAAGAAGGCGAAAAGAAGGTGTATACTTCAGTTTTCATCGCCGAGTCACTGAATGTTACCCAGGACAACCCATTATTTCTCGAAAATCCAGAATCAAATGCTTATCAACTCGAACAAATGCGTTTTATATTGTTATTGGAGATAAGTGAACAAGGACATTTATATCCAGCACACTGATATCTTTGTTTTAATTAAAATACGTTTTTTTCTGCACCTGCAGCGTAGTTTTACTCACGAAACATGCAAAAAAAGTAAACGGTACGAACATCGCGCGTAACATCTCACATATTCAAGACTTTAGAACGTGTTAACGTAAATAATATGAATATAAGCCTTTCTTTGTACTAGACCGACACGCTGATCCGGATAATGTTAATGTGCTAGTTCACAATTAAAGTAATAGTCCGCAGGAAGACCTATCACCTTACTCGTACACATTATTCTGACTCCGAGCCGACCAGTCTTTGCTCCTACTCTTTAATGCCGCGTGCTTAGCGGAGAAGCAGCAAATACTAATTTTAAAGTCTTTTGTTTGCCCGGCCGGGGTTTGAACCCACGACCTACCACGCTCGAGGCGAACATGCTACAACGAGACCACCAATGCGGTCTCTAAAGGATGAAATGAGGTACATAAGGGGGGGAGGGGGTGCAAGGGGAGATCCAATAACAGCAAAACGGTAAATTGATTTGGCTTAAAACAGATAACAAGGAATTAAAAAAGGATACAGACAGATAACAGTAAATCAAATATTAAAATCAGTCATCTCCAGGACCACTCCAGCATATCTCATTATAATCATTTGTTATAAATTCCATTTTCTATGAACATAAAATTGAGAATGGAAATGGGGAATGTGTCAAAGAGACAACAACCCGACCATAGAACAGACAACAGCAGAAGGTCACAAACAGGTCTTCAATGCAGCGAGAAATTCCCGCACCCGGAGGCGTCCTTCAGCTGGCCCCTAAACAAATATATACACTAGTTCAGTGATAATGAACGCCATACTAAACTCCAAATTGTACACAAGAAACTAAAATTAAAAATAATACAAGACTAACAAAGGCTAGATGCTCCTGAATTGGGACAGGCGCAAAAATGCGGCGGGGTTAAACATGTTTATGAGATCTCAACCCTCCCCCTATACCTCTAGCCAATGTAGAAAAGTAAACGCATAACAATACGCACATTAAAATTCAGTTCAAGAGAAGTCCGAGTCTGATGCCAGAAGATGTAACCAAAGAAAATAAACAAAATGACAATAATACATAAATAACAACAGACTACTAGCAGTTAACTGACATGCCAGCTCCAGACTTCAATTAAACTGATTGAAAGATTATGTCTTCATCATATGAATATCAGGCACAATCCTTCCCGTTAGAGGTTTAGTATCATACCATCATAATATATATGAGAAGAACATAACCCGTGTCATGCCAACAACTGGTTTTTAAATAAATGTGTTTAGTGCCGATGCAAAGACCCTATAAGTGAATCAATATTAACGCCAAAATATGCAATCTTTAATGACCTGACAACAGTATCGTAACTATATCCCTTCTTAATAAGTCTATTTAAAGGTTTTGTTAGCTTCAGAGGTGAATACTGACATTTTTGTGCTTTATAAAGAATATTTCCATAAAAAATTGGATGTGAAATACCTGAACGTATAAGAAGTCTGCATCTTGAGCTATATTTACGAATGATGTCCTTATACCGATGATAGAATTTAGTAAATGTTTTGACTAGTTTGTGATATCGAAAACCCTGGTGTAATAATTTTTCAGTAATACATAAATTTCTTATTAATGTATTTAGAGTTATCTAGCATTGGTTTCCTCAATGTATGATAATAATTTTTTGTTTTCCAAAACTAGTCGACTCAACCCTTGGATCACCATCTTTTAATTTGTAGACGATCTACTTCTTAGTAAAGAAGGTGTACAGAACAGTATAAATAAATTTAGTAGTTTCTGTGAAAATTGGCAACTTACTCTAAATATAAATAAAACTAAAACCACGATTTTACAGCCACATATTGCCAAAAGTTAGGTTTCATTTCTGAACTACAATGGTAATATGATAAAAAATGTTTTAGAATATAAATTCCTAGAAACTAATATAAAGAGCAATGGTAACCTTATTTCAAGTTTAGAAGACTTAGCGAAAAAAGCAAGAAAAGTCATGTTTTTGGTTAAAGCCAAGGTAGCTTCATTGGGAAATCTCCCAATAGAAATTTCTAGTAATCTTTTTGATAAAGAAGTTTAACCAGTTTTAAATGATAACTAGGCGATATCCTCTATGGATAGCTATACAAATTTAATCCTTGTGTTAATTTCTTTTAGAATTGTAACTTATTTCTTTGCTATATTCATGCTGTTTTTGTTGTTGTCACAAACTGATTGTTTATATGACAATAAAGATATGATATGATATAATGGCCATATGTTTTCCTTTTTGTAATATTAGGAATTGTTCGAATTTAATATCTACGTATGGGGATACAGGGAACATTATCCCTATATATACGTGAAAAATCAAATTCGTACAATTATTAATATTACAAAATGGAAAACATATGGTCAGGGATACCTGATGAGGATACGACCTTAACAGTAACACCTTTTGAGCTCACCGGGGCTCGAAGGGCTCCATGTGAGCTTATGCCATCACTTGGCGTCCGTCGTCGTCTGTCGTCGTCGTCTGTCGTCGTAAACTATTTCAAAAATCTTCTCCTCTGAAACTACTGGGCCAAATACCTTCAAACTTTAACTAAATGTTCCTTAGGGTATCTAGTTTATAAATTGTATCCGAAGTTTTGATCCATCGACAAACATGGCTGCCATGGCTAAAAATAGAACATAGGGGTCAAATGCAGTTTGTGGCTTATATCTCATAAACTAAAGCTTTTAGAGCAAATCTGACGTGGGGTAAAATTGTTCAATTGGTCAAGATCTATCAGCTCTGAAATTTTCAGATGAATCGAACAACCCGTTGTTGGGTTGCTGCCACCGAATTGGTAGTTTTAACAAAATTTTGAAGTTTTTGTTATTATTTTGAATATTATTATAGATATATATATATAAACTGTAAGCAGCAATAATGTTCAGCAAAGTAAGATCTACAAAAAAGTTAATATGACCATAATTGTCAATTGACCCCTTAAGGAGTTATAGCCCTTTAAAGACAATTTTACACAATTTGTTCATCAAGTTTGCTAACATTTAAAAATCTTCTCCTCTGAAACTACTGGGCCAATTACCTTCAAACTTTATCTAAATGTTCCTTAGGGTATCTTGTTTATAAATTGTATCCGAAGTTTGTATCCATCGACAAACATGGCCGCCATGGCTAAAAATAGAAAATAAGGGTCAAATGCAGTTTTTGGCTTATATCTCAAAAACTAAATCTTTTAGAGCAAATGTGACATGGGGTAAAATTGTTTAATTGGTCAAGATCTATCGGCCCTGAAATTATCAGACAAATCGAACAACCCATTGTTGGGTTACTGGCACCGAATTGGTAGTTTTAACAAAATTTTGCAGTTTTTTGTTATTATTTTGAATATTACTATAGATATATGTAAACTGTAAGCAGCAATAATGTTCAGCAAAGTAAGATCTACAAAAAAGTTAATATGACCAAAATTGTGAATTGACCCCTTAAGGAGTTATTGCCCTTTAAAGACAATTTTACACAATTTGTTCATCAAGTTTGCTAACATTTAAAAATCTTCTCCTTTGAAATACAGGTGAGCGATTCAGGCTCTTGAGAGCCTCTTGTTAAACAGAGCTGAGTGTGTGTTCCTTATTGTATATAAATTTTATACAATAAGGAACACAGACTCGGCTCTGTGATTCCTTTCTCAGAATACACACACTATTTAAATTACAAGCACGTGTGAGTTTCTTTAAAAACACAAAAATAAATGCTGAAAAAAAGTATTCCATAACAAAAAATAATCATACATTGAGTTAAACCAGAGACATATAATATATGTCTCTGGTTAAACATATTCTCGGTAACTCAATACATTTTTTCAAAGAAAATGTAATTTATTACGAAGGATTATGATAAGATATACTGGAATGGTCCTGGACCCAACTGATTTTAATATGTTTCTATGATGTCACGGTATGTTACCGGAATCCTTCTCCATATTACCAGTGGTAAGACCCAAATGTTCAACAATTTTCAATAACTACCAAAGATTGGCGGTCAAAATGCTAACATTCAATTTTCAATAACAGTTAACAGCAAATACATTCTCACAATAACAGATAACAAAAAAAATAATAGTCCTAGAACAGCTAACAAGGAATAAGGTAATAACAGTTAACAGCAAATATGTTTTCAGAATAACAGATAACAAAGAATTAAATTGCCCCAAAACAGCATAACAGTTAAACCCCTTGCCCCCCTCTTTTATTTTATTATTTTTCATTTGTCATCTGATTTCTAATAATGAAATCTATTCACCGAGGTGAACTATACAATGTGAGTATTGGTTATTTTAGAGTGTCTTCTATCCTTTCAAAGCTTGAAGGGACGAACAAGCTTGTACTATATATTCTCGCTAATTTTTCACCTGAAAAAAGGACCTCTGTGGCCGAGTGGTCTCAGTAGCTCAACTATTGTATGATCACTAGCCTGTCAACACTGAGGTTGTGAGTTCGAGAACCACATGCGACTCCAATCTTAATTGAGTAGGATTTTCAGTTTTCCTACGGAAGGTCAGTGGTTCTCCCCTGGCACTCCAGCTTCCTCCGCCAATACAAATTAGCCTCCACGGAATGGCCAACAGACTCAGTGCTGATCAATCAATCATCTGTACAAATATGTTACCATTTATTGTGGAATACTATCCTGAATCTTACTTAACAAGAATGTGTCCATAGTACACGGATGCCCCACTGGCACTATCATTTTCTATGTTCAGTGAACTGTGAAATTGGGGGTCAAAACTCTAATTTGGCATTAAAATTTGAAGGATCATATCATAGGGAACATGTGTACTAAGTTACAAGTTGATTGGACTTCAACTTCATCAAAAACTACCTTGACCAAAAACTTTTAACCCTAAGAACCAAAAACTTTAACCTGAAGCGGGACAGATGGACAAACGAACAGACGCACAGACCAAAAAACATAATGCCCCTAGGTGGGGCATAAATATATTTTTTAAATAAGTGACATTGGCATTTACATACTGATCCCAACACAAAATCAATATGCCCGTCTCTCTTCCCAGTATCAATTTTAATCCTATCAAGCAAGGGAAATTCATTTTACCATCCGGTAACACTTTTTCCAAACTTTGTCTATTTTAAGTAACAGTGATCTGGACCTTTGGCTTATTGACTGAAAAATCTTCTCATCCTCAGATCTTCCTTCTGTAAAAGTTTCATTGCAGTCTTGCAAGAAATACTTATAATAAGTTATCATCTGAAAACCATTTGTTTTTTAGACATGGACATCCAGATATACAGAGGAAGTTATTACTTACTTTATTAAGCTCCTGAAATATTTTTTAAAAAGCATGAAAATGAATTGCAGACTCCAAGTTGGGCCAATGATTTTTATATTATGCCATTCAAGCTAAATTATTTGATAATTGTTCTATCTCAGAATTTAAATTTGTATGCAAAACAAAACGTCTTCTTAATTTTGTTCAATATCTGGTTATTTAAATGATTATATAAAACTAAGTCATGTGAGTATATGCACTAAACATAAGGTTGCAACTTATCCTTAAATAAATTCGACCTAAAGTTGTTTTATTTGCACTTGGCTTTCAAACTTTTGGTCTGGAGGGAACTTGATGAAAGTAAATCCAGAAATGAGTCAGTGCTATTCGATTAAAATGAATGTGTATGGGTAGGGAGGGACATACACTATTTACCCACAGCCTACACACTTTCTTTGAGTAATTTTGCATACATAAAATGGACATTGAAGGCCGTACGGTGACCTATAGTTGTTATTTTATATGTCATTTGGCCTCTTGTGGAGATTTTCCTCATTGGCAATCACACCATATCTTCTTATTTATATGTTTAACTATAAGAGACCCAAGACCCATGTCCAAAATTTAAACCTTCTTTCCACACTCCTTTATAATTCATTTGAATGAAATAGCCCTCATGCACACTGAAATCAATTACTGTATATTCAGAAATGTTAGCAATGCTTTTATTTTTGCAAAAACTGTGACTAGAGAGATGTCGAAAAAATGAAATTAAAAATTTTGATAGCATTATTGTATGCAGCTTTACTTTTCCGCAATTTTATCGATTGTTAAACAATCACTTATTTCTGAATTTCTATTATTTATATTTTTCAAGACAAACAAAAGCATCTTTGGAAAAATTATTTTATAATTGATAAATTTAATTATATATTAATAAAATATATACATATAAAATGAATTATTTATATAATAAAGAAAATACATTAATAATCAACATTGCAACAATAAGTACAAATCATTCTGTTATCTTGAATGAAATCTCTATCTAATTAAATCAAATTTCAATTAGATTGAACGAATTTTATTACAGATGAAATTATGCTAAATGGAAGGAAATAAAATCCTAAATCATGTTGGTTTCAATATACATAAATATGACAAGTAATGCTGAAAGCCTTTTGTGACATCACAGTTGATATATAATACCCTAAATGGCCATTTCTGGTTCAATAGAACAGGATCAACAGCATTGAGCTTCCCCGAAACTATCTTATATTGCATAAATCTTTTTCAGTAAGGCTGTCACTTGCATCAATGATAAGAAGTTTTAAGAACAAAATTGTGGGGAAATATTTTGTATTCGATCCTTGGAATGCCAAATGTCTGATAGCTTAAACAAAAATATAAAAAAGTAATATCTGACACACTTCTATTTAATGAACTTCTGTGAGAGTTTGGTTGACACACATTTCAAATATTGTGATATTCAAATAAAAGGATAAAAGTTGTCCAATCATATGCCTTTTTCATTTAACAATTCAAAAATGTGTCAGTACATTCATATATCATGTATATGTCTTCTGTTTTCAAAAAATAAATAAAGGGGCAAGCTTATGTTTTCATTATAACAAATAAAAAACACTACGACCAAACTAAATTACCAGGTGCACAACCTTAATGATGATGATGATGATGATGATGAACTGTTGTTTAAAGATAAGGACCTCAGGAGGGAAATAATATATGAATATAAGGATGAGAACATCTTAATTTGACATGAATATTAACCTTGCTTTGTATTAGACCAACACTCTTGGTCTTATTGTTATTGTCATCCTACCTGGGTACACTATTCTGACTCTGACATAACCAGTCTTGACCCTTGCTCCATATATACACTTAGCAGAGAAACAATAAATACAAATTTTCAAATCTTAGGTTTGGCTCTACAAAAAGACCTAAAAGCAGGTTTATCACAAAAACATTCCCACTATCAACAATCTCTAATGAATTCTATTTTAATGACATTTTCACCGTACACAGTTTACAATAAATGATGCAGCCTTCAGAGTTACAAAAAATTAACCTTTGATGAACCTAAAAATCTCAGAAATATAGACCAGCGGCTCTTTTCACAAAAAATCTTACGACTAAAATTGATCGTAAGTTATACTGAAATGTTCATGACTTACGAGTACTTTTTCTTGTAAGATTTTTTGTGAAATGAGTCGCTGGTTTTATTTATGTGACAGATTCTTTTCGATCCATATTCAGTATAGTCCCATATTTCACATATTGCCTTTATTCATCAATTAATAAATTTGGTTAAGTAGGCAGGAATCAACTGCATAAAATATCATTTTTTAGTTCTTCTTGAAAAAAAAATGGTCGGAAGATCTGATATTAAAAAAAGAAATGTCACCTTATCCATTTTATCCACATGAAATTAAATTATTTAAAAGAATAACCACAAACTTTTAAAGTGGCAAATGTTAATGTTTCTACAGTATGAAGTCAATATATGAGCTGTGTCAGCTAGAAATCGACCTTATGCAAGTGCACGTATACATGTACATGTTTAAGACTTTGATTGATTTTGAAACATTTAAATACGAAATAAAAGATGAGTTTATATATATATGTCTATTTTGTAGATTTTCTCATAACAGCTAAATTTTCAAATAGTTACAGACTTTCCATAGAGATTTTGTCAACCCAAAATACGTTAAAAGATGTATTGAAATTTATTTGCATAAGGTCGATTTCCATCTGATGCAGCTAATATGTTTCAATGTTTTCAATGAAAATGATGAAAGAATTAATACATGATGAAAGACTTGAATTGATTGTTCAAATCACATAAAAACATATTACAAATAATCTAATCATTTGTTGTATATAAGGAAGTTTTTGAAGCTATTCCATTGGTTACTGTCATGGTATAAATATGTCATGGATGATTTCAGCGACGGCTGTAATGTGTCCTTGTGATACTCAAACATCCACAGAACTACTCCCCAAACTATTGCAGCAAAAAATGGAAAAGTGTCATGTTTCGGTTTTGGTATATATCCTTTTTGAACTCCTAGCTTGGCTAATCCATATAAAATTCTTGATAGCAAGTACAAATTAATCTAAAATATAATTATTAAATTATTTTTATTTAAACATCTACTTTTTACCTTGTGCTATGTTTCAAGTTACAATGTTTGATAAACCATGACAAAAAATGTATGGGTTTTTCTCATTATTGAAGGCTGTACAGTTGCCTATAATCATGATAATTGCTAACATCAACTTCATTTGAACTTTGGTGGAAAATTGTCTCATTGGCAATCATACCACATCTCTTACTTTTATAATGTTACAATACACAAAAACATCACATTTTGTTAAAGGCAAGTGCTACATGCGAAAAATGTTTACATAAAATTGTACATGATGTTGTAAGGATTTGGTATTTTGTGTTGTTTCACATGTAGTAAGATATTCAACTATTGTGCACAATTAATGATCATGACTTGTACATAAAAAAACAACATGAACATATATATGTAGTTGGGCAAATGTACTATCAAACATTGAATTATTTCCTCTTGATCATGGTATTATCAAATAAACTTTATTGGTAAAAAATGTTGTAATTTTTCTTCTAATAATATAGAGTTTAGTTTGGACAGTTTCTTGTTCTTCGTACGTAGTATCAAGTGCACATATAAAATAGAAAGTGATGGTCTTAGCACATTCTACATGTTAGTATATATCATAATAATAATCAACCAAAATGAATATATTTGAAAAATAAACTGTTTCGCTGAGCGCAGCTGGATATGCCCGCAGAGGTCCAACCCTGAACAATTGGGGCAAAAAAGGACACAATATTCAAGCTTGATACAGGTCTGAATTTGGATTGTAATTAAATATTTGATATATTGTAGGTTTCTGAATAAATGTAGTCAAAGAACTTGAAATTGGTTATAAGAAAGATTTCTTGCTGTTGTGCAATACACTGTGCTGTTGCGCAATACTTAGTAAATCTGTTGTCAGACTATAAACAAATAAAATCTTATAACTTGGAAACGTAAAATCGAAAATTTATAAAAATCAAAAGGGAGCTTACAAAAATAGATATAAACAATTTACCAAAGTTTCATTTTTGAGTTATTGTCCGAAAACTTGAAAATCCCCCTTTTTGTAATGAATAAAACCCCATAAATTGGAAAAGTATAATCTGAAATTTATAAAAATCAAAACGGAGCTCATGTCGATAGAAATAAACAATTCACCAAAGTTTCTTGCAAATTGGTGAAATTTTTTTTGAGTTATTGTCCAAAAACTGGAAAATCACCCCTTTTTATACGACCGCAAAAAAATTTTTGTGGTCGTATATTGGTATGACGTTGGCGTCCTCGTCGTTGTTGTCCGGCGTTGTCGTCGTCCGGCGTCGTCCGAAGACACATTGGTTTTCGCACTCTAACATTAGTTTAAGTGAATGGATCTTTATGAAATTTTACCACAAGGTTCAATACCACAAAAGGAAGGTTGGGATTGATTTTGGGGGTTATGGTAATAACAGTAAAGGAATTAGGGGCCAAAAAGGGGCCAAAAATAAGCATTTTTGTAACTTCCAGACATAACTTGTGTGTTAGTGTATGGATCTCTCTGACATTGTACCACAAGGTTCCATATCACTAAAGGAATGCTGGGATTGATTTTGGGGGTAATTGCCTCCAAATTTTAGGAATTAGGGGCCAAAAAAGGGGCAAAAAACAAGCATTTTTCTAGTTTCATGACAATAACTTGTGTGTAAGTGTATGGATCTTTCTGAAATTGTACTACAAGGTTCCATATCACAAAGGGAAATCTGGGTTAGAGTTTGGGGGTAATTGCCCTAAACGTTTAGGAATTTGGGGCCAAAAAGGGGCCAAAAAACACATTTTTTTCTAGTTTCCAGACAATAACTTGTGTTCAAGTGTATGGATCTCTCTGAAATTGTACTTCAAGGTACCATACCACAAAGGGAAGGCTGGGATTGAGTTTGGGGGTGATGAATCATAATAGGGGTTAAAAAAATTTTGGGGGGGGGATTTATTTTTTTTTCCTTTTTTTTCTTTTTTTCCTTTTTTGTTTCTTTTAAAATTTTCCATTTTAAGTTGGTTATTTCTGATTTATATTTAAAATCAAATAATAATGATATGGTAGGAGATACACACCAAACAGGATGTGTAAATTATTATATAATAAGTATTGTGCAATAGCAAGAAATTTTCAATTGCACAGTATTGCACAATAGCAAGAAATCTTCAATTGCACAGTATTGCGCAATAGCAAGAAATCTTCAATTGCACAGTATTGCGCAATAGCAAGAAATATCCAATAGCACAATATTGCGCAATAGCAAGAAATTGTCAATTGTACAGTATTGCGCAATAGCAAGAAATATTTAATAGCACAGGATTGTGCAAAAGAAGATACTTCCTATAAATTGCTTATTTCTTGACCAATTTCAATGGGGTTTTATTCTTGATTTCATGGGGTTCTTTAATATGCTGAATCTAACCATGTATTTAGTTTTTGGATTTTGGGCCCCGTTTTTAAATTGGTCCACATTGAGGTCCAAAGGGTCCAAAATTAAACTTTGTTTGATTTCATCAAAAATTGAATTATTGGGGTTCTTTGATATGCCGAATCTAACTGTGTATTTAGATTCTTAAATTTTGGTTCCGTTTTCAAATTGGTCTACATTAAGGTCCAAAGGGTCCAAAATTAAACTTAGTTTGATTTTAACAAAAATTGAATTCTTAGGGTTCTTTGATATGCTGAATCTAAACATGTATTTAGATTTTTGATTATGGGCCCAGTTTTCAAGTTGGTCCAAATCGGGGTCCAAAATTAAACTTTGTTTGATTTCAACAAAAATTGAATATATGGGGTTCTTTGATATGCTGAATCTAACCATGTATTTAGATTTTTGATTTTTGGGCCCCGTTATCAACTTTGTCCACATTGAGGTCAAAAGGGTCCAAAATTAAACTTTGTTTGATTTCATCAAAAATTGAATTATTGGGGTTCTTTGATATGCCGAATCTAACCGTGTATTTAGATTCTTAATTTTTGGTTCCGTTTTCAAATTGGTCTACATTAAGGTCCAAAGGGTCCAAAATTAAACTTAGTTTGATTTTAACAAAAATTTAATTCTTAGGGTTCTTTGATATGCTGAATCTAAACATGTATTTAGATTTTTGATTATGGGCCCAGTTTTCAAGTTGGTCCAAATCGGGGTCCAAAATTAAACTTTGTTTGATTTCAACAAAAATTGAATATATGGGGTTCTTTGATATGCTGAATCTAACCATGTATTTAGATTTTTGATCCCCGTTATCAACTTTGTCCACATTGAGGTCAAAAGGGTCCAAAATTAAACTTTGTTTGATTTCATCAAAAATTGAATTCTTGGGGTTCTTTGATATGCTGAATCTAACCATGTATTTAGATTTTGGATATTGGACCATAATAGGTGAATGTCCAATTTAAAATTTTTAAGTTCTTAGACCACATTCAATCTGTGTTAGAAACCTATGCTGTGTCAAATATTTAATCACAATCCAAATCCAAAGCTGTATCAAGCTTGAATGTTGTGTCCATACTTCCCCCAACTGTTCAGGGTTCGACCTCTGCGGTCGTATCAAGCTGCGCCCTGCGGAGCATTTTATTTAATGAATAAAACCCCAAAACTCGGAAAGGGTAAATCCGAAATTTATAAAAAACAAAAGGGAGCTCACAACAATAGATATGAACAATTCACAAAAGTTACATGCAAATTGGTGAAATTGTTTTTGAGTTATTGTCCAAAAACTGGAAAATCCCCCTTTTTGTAATGAATAAAACCCCATAAATTGGAAAAGTATAATCTGAAATTTATAAAAATCAAAACGGAGCTCATGTCGATAGAAATAAACAATTCACCAAAGTTTCTTGCAAATTGGTGAAATTTTTTTGAGTTATTGTCCAAAAACTGGAAAATCACCCCTTTTTTAATGAATAAAACCCCATAACTCGGAAAGGGTAAATCCGAAATTTATAAAAAACAAAAGGGAGCTCACAACAATAGATATGAACAATTCACCAAAGTTTCATGCATATTGGTTAAAGCGTTTTTGAATTAATGTCCGACATGTTGAGGAAAAAACCTCAATCACACATGTTTATCAGTCCATACAAGCCATATTAAAAGACCCTAAGTTAAAGCAAGAAAACAAGTTACATTTAATTCGTAACAGGAGAGGTTAAGAAAACTTCAATGAACCAACAACCCAACAGCACAAAAACACAAATTCAACAACGTATAATAACCAGAGGGAAACAAGATGTCAGTGACAATTGTACTAACATTTTAAACATGTTAAATGCCTGAAACAATCATAAAAATAATTCAGTATTTGCAAGTCAATGGCCTTAATGCAAACATATAAATTTATTCCACAATCCTTTTGGATGTATAAAAAATGTTAATCTACATTTATCATGTTTAAAGTTGGCTTCAAATATATCTGATTCAAATTTGTATGAAAAAATGACAGCATCAAGACAGTAAAAAAGTAAGGAGATTAAGCCCTGAAATTGTCATGAAGGCAACTTAAGATAAACAGTATTTGCTTATAATTATTCTTTTTCTATGGTAAATACATGTACATACTGTGAACCAACTTCACAGACACTTTTTTCTTATCAAGTCCTTACTTCTTGATGTCACATTGACTTTTTTGGGTTATTTTTGAACAGCTTTAGAGCATTTGTTTCTGACTATTAATATTCAGGTTATTTTTCTACTGACTACTTGCGAAAGTAATGAAATTTGTTGGTTTACAAGTATTGTCTCAGCAGCGTTCACACCACAACTCCTTATTCTGAGTCAAGAAACATAAATAATCACCTCGCTGCTCGCTTAAACTCTGTGAAAGTTTTGTAAACTTACTTGTTCATTAACTTTGTTGTATCTACCAAACACCAAATATCCTCCAACAAATGCTGCCATAAAGGAGTGAAACTCAACTTTCTCCGACTGTAACCATGCCATCAGACTGGTCAATGATTTATACAGGAATACAAACATGGCCAAATTCTTAGAATGTGTAAACGTTGCTTCTAAAATTCCTTTTGCCATATCTTTTGGACTGAAAAATTAAAAAAAGACATCTAAATCTATAACATCCTAATGATTGTGAAAGTAAAATGTCTACCATGTAGTTAAGAAAGAAAATAAAGAAACTAAAGAAGGCCAGTGGCCGAAACGTCTAAAATAATGATTTATTACTACAATAATGTAAAAGAGGGACGAAAGATACCAGAGGGACAGTCAAACTCATAGATCGAAAACAAACTGACAACGCCATGGCCAAAAATAAAAAGACAAACAGACAAATAAAAGTACAGATGACACAACATAAAAAACTAAAGACTAAGCAACACGAACCCCACCAAAAACTGTGGGTGATCTCAGGTGCTCCTGAAGGGTAAGCAGATCCTGCTCCACATGTGGCACCCGTCGTGTTGCTTATGTTATTACAAATCCAGTAAATAGTCTAATTCAGTAGGTCACATTCGTGAAAAGGGAAGGTATTGTAGTTACGACATAAGGAACATATCCGATATCATCTGTGAAACGGTTATTCCATAACTGTCAACCAACTCGTGATGGCGTCCGTAAAATTTATGTAGGGATGATTTCAACTTCACCATTTGGAACTCTTGGTTTAATAGCTTCCTTGTGAGCAGCAATCCTCTATCAAGGAAATCATGATAGGAAATAAAAGCCCTGGAATATCGTATCAATTGGGAGATATATACTCCGTATGCAGGCGCTGCTGGAATGTTGCTACATAGAAATGGAAAGTTCACAATTGGGAAGCTGAAATCATCTCTTTTGTCGTAAAGTTTTGTTTTCAACCGACCCTCATTGTCAATTTCTAGATGTAAGTCAAGATATGAGGCAGACTTAACTGTATCTGTAGTATCCTTTATCTCTAGTTCGATGGGATATAGATTCGTTCAACATAGTCACCAAATATATGTTCCCTATTGGAATTTTTGAAACAAGGATAAAATTTTCATTACAATCAGTTTTACACATACATATTCTACATTAAATAATGAGTGCAAATAAAAATCATTGCAATATTCATTCTAAACACAATTATCCTCTGCTGGTATCATGTTACTATTATGAGCAATCATAAAATATTAGAAGTACCATATTTTGCAAATTTAAGACAATATTTTGTTTTAAATCTTGACAGCCTTGTCTTGTACTGCAGTTAGATCTATGTAAGACTTTTTTTTCTGAAATCCTGTTGCAAGTTATTAGAAAATCCTGGACTTTCGACAGTTTTCACAATGATATGTATTTTATATTTAAAAATAAGAAGATGTGGTATGATTGCCAGGGATACAACTTTCCACCAGAGACCAAATGATATAGAAGTAAACAACTATAGGTCACCATAGTATACATCCTTCAACATTGAGCAAAACCCTTACTGTATATTTGCATGGATTATATTTTGTTTGGAGAAAAGCAGAAGAAAATTTATTGTTCCTTAATAATAAATTTTGACTATTTAATTAAATATATAATTGACTATAGCTTGTTTTTTTAACATGGTTTTTCATCCCTTATACTTCTCTTAGCTTGGTTTCTTGTCTCTTTTATTTTTAGCAGGAAATGAAATTTTTTCTGACAAACCTCACTAGGTCAGAGCTTTTAAATGTTGATATCACACTACCCCAACAATTACAAATGCTTGCATAACATTTATAGGCTTTCAAGGTTCAGAGTTTGATTTTTCAACGTGCAAGTTTATATATTTTTAACTGACACCCCATATTGGCAGCAATGATAACTTATAAGGCATCAAAAAGCCAGACTTGGTATTAACAATTGACCAATGCCAATATCCCAGCCCATAGACATTGATGTCAGATAATGGATTTGTTACAAAAATAGGCAATTAAATATGAAAATTTTTATTGGTTAATTCATAAAAGTAGCTACATATAAAAAAGAAGATGTGGTATGATTGCCAATGAGACAACTCTTCACAAGAGAACAAATGACACAGATATTAACAACTATAGGTAATTACGCAAAACTGAGTAGTTGGAATCTTGGACATAATTATCCTAGTAAGTTACATGTATCCTTTTTCAATTTTGAATGTAATAAAATTAAGACTAACCACTTTTTCAAGGTTTACTCAAATGAGTCAAATCATATTTGATTAATGACTTTAATGACCAGATGTCGGACACTTACTATAAACTTTCAAGGAAGACTGAACTTGTTCAAAATAAATCAAATATATTCCAACAACGTTCTCATATGTTTACCATTAAAAACAGCTTTCTCCTTGAAACAATGTGAGATTTATTGAATGCAAGTGGAAAACATATTTTATAATGAAAGTTTTAAGACTCTCAAAAGCAATATTCATAGTCATAGTTTTTTGCATTAACCATACATGTGTAAGTGTCGTTTATAAATATTAGAGTTATCTCTCTTTATCCAACTCTTCCACACCAATAAAGTCATGATGAATTGTATAAAGTACCTTAATAACATAAGCAAAGTGAGCGGAGTGTAAAGGTGTTGTATGAAAGAGTGAATGAAAGTATCAAAATATAATCAGTAAAAACATTTTTGGTTTAGCACTGTTTATGTCCAGAACATCAAGTATATGTTTTTTATCCTAATTAAAATTTTTGATCTAAAGTAAATTAATTTTCTTTAATGTCAGCCATGCTTTATTTATAATAAACATTAAACATGTTAAACAAAAATTAATTTCATATCTAAAAATTTGTTGTATAAAATAATTAATATATCAACAAGTTTCTAGCTAAAAACCAAGCAGAAATTGTTTTAAACTCCTTAATTAATTTCAACTATTTAGCAATCTAATATGTTATCTTCCATTTAGAAAAAAAAAATATAATATGTAATCTATATATATAATGTTAGTTACTGTAAGACTTAATGACTGTGAGGGGTAGTACTTTTTTATCTACAAGTAACAGTTAATAATTTTTTTAGGTAAATAGTGATTCATATTGTTTTTAACATAAACTTTGAAAGAATTTTTTTTGTGTTTATTTTCTTCAAATTCTCTTGACAACATTAGAAAATATTTACTGTATGTCTTTAGTAGAACTTTGTTTTTATTATTTCATAAAAGTAAAGTATCATTTGTTGATTATTTTCAATTCTAACACGTCTAATATGACGTTCTTCAAACGCTTTGACTACACACCCATGGTAAAATTCGAATATAAATATGTCAGCTGATATGCAACTTCATGATTTGTTTGGGCTGTTCCAATCCTACTCCCACGTCAAATGCTTTTTATGAATGATTATCCTCATGTCAGATGTAGTAAATGACGTCATTGAACAATGGCGTAAGAATGAAAGGATTTTACAGGAAAATGCATGAATGGGAAACTGAGAGTCTTCAAAACATGAAAACATAAACAAACGATGGTAAAAATTTGTATAATGTCCATATCTCCTTAAATGAAGGTAAGATAGTCAATTAATTTCATCCAAATCTGTCTTAGTATGCTATTGTATATCGGTAAAGAATGTCACTTATTCAATTTTCTACGTCATTTTCGTCATTATTAATAGTAGTGTTGTCGCTTGTGGTAAAATATTAAGCCTACAGGGCCAACCCCATGGCAAAATCATGATAAATTCATGTCACCATGAATTATTTCTAAAACTACATGTCAGTCAGGGGTACTACTTGTACAAGTAATTTTTATTTATTTGAAGAAGTAAATATTTATATACTTATATAAGTAAATTTGTAGGATACTTATACAAGTGTATTTTATTTACTTGTATAGGTAAAAAAAAGTTGGGCTTAGTTATGTCCCTTAGACATTCAGATTTTTTTACTTATACAAGTAAAAAAGTCATCCTATCTTCTTTTCTTGAATTCTTAGGACTTCTTTGCTCTAATAGAATTTTTGATTGTCTGTCCTTTGCAGATGTCTTTACTAATCATTTAAGTGTAATTTCATGGACAATGAAAATCTCATTTGTCTGTTATCTTCAGAACACTGCTCATTTACAAGCCCCCCAAGGGTCAATTTTTGAAGGCCTTGCGCAAATACTTAAGATCTTTGCGCAATCAGTTTCTTTGTTGAATTAATGAGATGAAACATTGAACTCTAATAAAAAGTTATGAGCTAACCTGAGAAAAATTGTTAAAGGCATGTTTTTACATCTCAAAACTTGAGAATTTTTGTTGGATTGTAATAAAAATTTACTTATACATTTGTACAAGTAAATTTTTGAGAAAATTAAGGGGACATTATTCAAACATTATAATTAACTTATATAAGTTTATTTTATTTACTTCTTCAAGTAAATAAAGATTACTTGTACAAGTAGTACCCCTGACTGCATGTACTTACTATGAAATAAAAGCCTCTAGCAGGCTATGTATCACCTTCAATTTTCTCCAGTAAGTGTTACTTACCTTTCCCTTTTAAACAAGAATGACATTACCAGTGAATGTGGAAACCTGACTTTAGCACCATAGCTGAAAAGACAAAATCATACTCTTAGATAGATCATAACAAAAATTAAACGCATCATGGAATTATGCTAAAAATATTTTCTGTTTCAAAGTAAAGTAAAAATCAATTAATAACTCTTAGGAAGATCATAATAAAATTATCCACAACATGCAAATATGTCAAAAAATATTTTCTGTTTCCGATAAAGAAAGTTGAATATTAGAGTAATCTTGTAGAATGTATCATTGGTATCTCTCATCTGTGTACAGTTGAATATCAGTACCTGAAACTGAGCCACACAATAACACAACCACAACACTTTTTTGTAGCATTAGTATACTATCCCTAGGTTTCATTAGATGCAATAAGGTGAAAACCAGGAGTCCAATTATCTCCTGTCAGCTCTACATGTATGACTCTGCCAAATTACTTGCAAGGAAGCAAGCATTAATTTGTTAATGAAATAGTAATTGCTGCAATAATTTATGGTTTCACACATGGATAACTCTTCCCTAACGGTGATAAACAATATTTATTGAAACTCATGATAAAAGTTTATATTTGTTTAGACAGAAATATTCAATGATGTTTTCAAAACGCCTTTAAAGATTAAGATTGCACTTCCAAACTAGAGGCTCTCAAGAGCCTGTGTCGCTCACCTGTATTTACTGATGCTTTGGAAATCATGTAAAATAAGGTTAAAATCATAATTAATAGTATTAGATATTAGATATTATAATGATATCTAAGATAATAACAAAAAACTGCAAAATTTTTGTAAAATTACTAACTCAGGGGCAGCAACCCAACAACAACGGATTCGGCTTAAGTTTCAGAGATATAAACCAAAAACTGCATTTTACCCCTATGTTCTATTTTTAACCAAGTCGGCCATGATGGTTGGAAGGCGGGGTCATCGGAATTTTTTTTTAAACTAGATACCCTAATAATGATTATGGCCAAGTATGGTTAAATTAATTTGTCTCAGTAGTTTCAGAGAAGAAGATTTTTGTAAAAGATTACAAAATTTTACAAAAAATTGTTAAAAATTGACTATTAAGGGCAATAACTCCTAAAGGGGTTGACTGACAATTTTGGTCATGATAACTTATTTGTAGATCTTACTTTGCTGAACATTATTGCTGTTTACAGTTTATCTCTATCTATAATAATATTCAAGATAATAACCAAAAACTGCAAAATTTCCTTAAAATTACCAATTCAGGGGCAGCAACCCAACAACAGGATGTCAGATTTGTCTGAAAATTTCAGGGCAGATAGATCTTGACCTGATAATCAGTTTTACCCACGTCAGATTTACTCTAAATGCTTTGGTTTCAGAGATATAAGCCAAAATCTACATTTTACCCCTATGTTCTATTTTTAGCCATGGCGGCCATCTTGGTTGGTTGGCCGGGTCATCGGACACATTTTTTAAACTAGATACCCTAATGATGATTGTGGCCAAGTTTGGTTAAATTTGGCCCCAGTGGTTTCAGAGGAGAAGATTTTTGTAAAAAGCTAACGACGACGGACGCTGACGACAGACGACGGATGACAAGTGATGAGAAAAGCTCACTTGGCCCTTCGGGCCAGGTGAGCTTATAAAAAGTAAGATACTGAAACTAAACACAAAATATTCAAAGGTTGATATTTTTTGCTTTCGTCTCAATTAGGCCCAAGTCGATATCGCCCAAATTGATGCAGCCTATATTTAAATTGAAAAAAAAATTTAATAAGGATAAAAACTTATATATTTTTGACTTGTACAATGTAGTTCATAAATATTAATACATTTTATGAATACTATCAAATGTAGATGATAAAATATTGTGCATTGGACACATATTCATGATATTCAAATATGCAATTTTTATTAGACATGTTTGAGCACAAGGGCGCATATCAGTCGACTGGTATGCGGTCTACATTGTGGGCACCCAGCTATTAACATAATTACGAAATTAGAAAAATAGATTTTTAATTATTAACAATACTGATAAACCAGGCGTGCGCCAGAAAGTAATCATCAACCAGTTGATATTTTTCTGTATATAAAGAAGAACGTAGAACGCATACCAGTCGACTGGCATATATTTCATCCCCTAAAACATCTACAAATGTATGATACACGCCCCTGTGGTTAGAGGAGTAATTTATTCGAATATTATTTTAATTTATATTGGGGCTGCATCGACATGGGACCAGAACGACCTGATGATCATAGCAATGTAGCTATATAAGCTGAAACAACATATGTACCGAACCTGATCTAAGTTTTAGAAAGACGACCAACGGCAACATACAGACATATATTTGAAACATAACATTTTCGTTATTATATGACTTACACGGCCCCATTTCTGAAACCTTTAACCACCGACAGTACAGTAGCATACTGCCCTGACAGCAATAATCTGTTAACAGCTGCAACTGACATTGTTTGTTATCAAAATGACCCGGTCACAAAATCGCAGATCAGAAGGTTTTTGTTTACATTTGTAGCTTTTTACCTTCATCAGAAAAGAGCTGAACAATCGGGATCCGTCTTTAATTTGCTTGCTCAAATTTCACTACAATGATATTGCAAAATTAGCCAGTAAAGCTGATTATTTTATGGTGCATACTTTAGTAGCAAGAAAGAATAATTTTCAATTGCCTAAAATAACTTTTATCTTATAACAACGTGTTATGTACTACACGTCTAAAAAGTACGACTAATTCTCCCTAGACAGCATTTATTTCCGTAAACAAAAACACGTGCTTTCATTTTTAGCGGTAAGTGATTTTTTCATTAATAGAGTGGAATGTTTTTAAATAAATGCTTCATTGTTTTAGCACAGTTTTATATTATAAAAGGTCGAAATTCAAAATCTACTTTCGATTTGAAATGCTGCATGGAATTTACAAGCATTAAAGATATTTTCATCACTTAAGTTATGTTGTATGCGCCGTCATTTATAAATTATATAACAGGTTGGGGACAACCCGCCAAATGAGGAACTATTCCCCAAATGAGTAACAATCCCTCCTTTGAGTAATCATTTGGTAGTGCTAAAAACATGTTTTTCTTAACTGAGACTTTTTTTTCTTAAAATGGCACATATTCAAGAAAAATGCAGCAAATATTCCAAAAGATGAATAGCCTATCTTGATTTACTGAGAAGTTACAAGCCTATGAAAACTTCGAAAGATTGACAATTTTCAATGCTACTAATTTTTATAAAACCATAATAAAAATATAGTTCTTTGGAAGAAGTTGTTCCATTTGCTATTTTGTTAATCTGTGCCATTTTATGTCAAACGACCCATTTTAGGAAAATTTTGTTTTTCACTATCAACTGATTACTCAAATGAGGGATTGTTATTCATTTGGGGAATAGTTCCCCATCTGGCGGATTGTCCCCAACCTGTATAAGACCGTTGTATAATGGTAGTATAATAGTAAATATATAAATGATGGAAAATTGTATGCTGCCATTGCTGGATAATGGAAGTAGAATAAAGTAGCTAGACTAAGATAAATAAACGAATAAATAAATTAAATTGAATTAAATTGCATTGCTAAAGTCTTGAAACAAAATAGGTGACGTAAGATTAAGTTATTAATAGTTTCGTCTTTTTGTTAAACATGTTAATAAATATAGTTAATCTAATATTTTAGAGTTCTTTTGATCATGTTGATCATAGCTATTAATGTGACGTTGAGAAATAAATTAAATAAACTGTCATCTTTTAAAAGAATAAAAATGTTTGTAATTTGCTGTAGGAAAATATACCTAAAGTGTTCTATTGTCCACTAAATAATCCTGTAAATTAAGTAAAGATTTTGATAATCCATTAATTGCTTTTACATACATGACATAACTATATAAAATATATGTCAATCATATAAATCTACAACATAAAAAGAGAATAGTTGACCATGCAACAAAAAGTAACTTTAGAAAATTCAAAGTTGACGCTGAAATTTCATAGGTGAATAAAATAGTTCCAATCAGCACGTGATGTTGGGTTTAAAAAGGGAAGCCCGCAAACTCCCAACATCACAGATCACATATCACACTCCAATGAAGATTGCTGTTTGGAATAAACAATGAAAACATCAATGATTCATTGTATTTTATTCACCAGCGCCAGGCCTCGAAAGAACAAGTGTCCGAGATGAGGGACACGCCAGCAGAAGGTATATAGACCTGAAATGAGTGACAAGTATTCCCCAGATCACCGAGATAAGATATTATCCCAGACCTTAAGATTACTCGAGAGAAGCTAGAATCCCCAAATACACGAAAGCGAGAATAGTCCCCAAGGAAAGATAACCGTCTCCCGAAATTCAGTTATGAACGTTTTGGAGGGAAAGGGGAGACAACTCGACAGAGCAGCGATCTCTTCCCCCTTTTCCTGCATTACAGAATGCCCGAGGACTTTTCCGGGGCTGCATAACAAATAGACCCAATCATACATTTTGAAAACCGTGTCCAACTCAATTTGTCACAGTGAGTCTGACTTGTACTTGGCGACGATACGTACCGCAAAAATATGTGATGCAGGCGTTATTTATATAAAAAAATTGTTTTATTTTTTTTAAGGACAATTCTATAATATTAGCAGCTAAACATTTACCGATTCTCTGATATTACAATGACAGTGGTTTATAAATGAAGCCCCTCCGTTCAGTTTTATTATTTCCCAAATACTTGCAAATATCATCATGAATATTGATTTTCATGAGATATTCTGTTCTCAAGTTTACAACCAAGTTTATTTTATTCACTGCTACATAAATGATATGAGGGTCTGGATGGGGGTTCCTTTTACTATATATTCTTTTAACTTTTTAAGCCATTATGATAGTTCTCTATTTTTTTATATTTTTTTCTCGATTTTTTATTTACTAGCACCCTATTCGTGCTTGAAGGAATTGTATCTATTAATCTAATGTTGACTGCAATTGAACCCCTTCTAAACGATCTTTTAATTGGGTAGTAGATTGAAATATACACAGACAACAGCCTTTCATCCAGGCAAGTGTAAAATATGCCTTGATTATCAGCCAAAATAATAATCCAATAAATTGCACACAATTGCACCTTACAATCTCATTACAATACAGATACTGTGTCTGACTTTAAGCTTGTAAGCTTGGACATACAAGATCCGTATTTTTACTGAATCAGATTGCGAGGCAAATTACCTAGGGAATAAAATCAAATCCAACCCTAGAGTCAAATAAACCCCATAGATCTGAAACAAAGCAAACGACACACCACACTTGTTTGCTTATATGTAGGAACCTTAACATCAGTTCCACCTCTGTCATCAGTAAAGAGAGACACAGACATATGTTATGTACATATTTCTACATGTTCTAGTAGACATATGTTATGTACATATTTCTAGTAGACCATCACTACGATATACCCTGACCAGTTTACTGTGGACATAAAAAAAATTGCAAAAGTACAAAGAGCTGCCGCGTCTAGGTTTGTCACTAACAGAAGAAGAATGTTAATGACATGTTAAACAACGTAAAAATGGGAGACTGAGCAGATAGAAGAACAGACGCACACCTTGTCATGTTGTAAACCATTTTAAAAGGATTTTTTACTGACAGCTTTATATCGTTTTTGAAATATAGTCACATACGACAAAACTAAAAACGGGCATCCTTTTTTGAATATATAAAAAAACGCAGCCCCGCTCTGTCATGTCTGTCGGAAATAGGACGTTACATTTTAGGCCTGTGATTGGAGCTAGAGCACCAAGCTCTTTGCCAGTTAAAAAAACCCAAAAAGTCTTAACAATTCTTTCATGGGTTTGCAGTCCGGACAGTTTGCACGGTAAACACTTTTGTCCGTGTAAACATGGTAAAGTCTTTTCAGTTGTAGGACACATTTCCCGTCCCCAACTCAGTTGACACATGTCGCAGAACCTTCTATGATTATATACTAAAGTATAATGTAGGGTCTAAACTGCGGGTACTACACCAGGTATACGTCATCAGTGTCGGTTCCAAAAAAAGGGGGGGGGTTGGAACTCCCCTTAAAAAAAGACTGGATCCGCGCCTGGTCATGCTGGTCATAAGGGAATGATTATATTGTAAATTATGTAAACAAAGAAAGAAAAAAAAAATCAGGAACCCCTGCAACTGTGGACCATGTTCACTTCAACGAACTTTTCTTCAGTTTGTACTGCATGTTTTTCAGATGTTTTTATTTTACTGATCTCGACCTGAATTTCCCTATCAAGAAAATTTCTAAAAAATCAAATGTTATCTTACCTTAAAACCCTACTATATAAGAAAATGGACATACTACAATGTACTAGTCATCTTCGCTAGCCAAGGGTTACGATCCAATCCCCTCCTCTCCAAGAGAAGAGGAGGGAATTGGATCGTAACCCTTGGCTAGCGTAGATGTGTGCTAGTATCCTTAATTTTTGATGTATTATACATTTTTTTTATGGAAAACACATTTATGAAAACATGTTGTTTGATATTTTGAATTTCAGTAACGAACATTTTTAAAGATCTTAACATTGTTAGCATGGTTATCATGTGAATTACAATACTGTTATATATAAATGGCGGTATCCTGGTACTGCAAAATATGTTCATTGATATTGCTACAAAATAAGTTTATCCCAAAGCCACGCACAAGGATTTCGCAATATGCATTTATCGTCGTTTTTCATTTGTCATTTCAGTAATACTCAAATTACAAAATGCCGTCGAATGTTGAAATAAAAGCACATTTAAAAGACTTAGCAGGTGTCTGTAAGGTAGCAGAACAGATCTGTACTGAAGGACCAACCATTCTACAGCAAGAAGACACATTCTTCACTGTGGATAAAGGAAGACTCAAACTGCGAAAGATTGAGGTAAATTTACCCATACATGAATTCATCCTAAGATGAGGATGTTTTTTTTTGTACAGGTTGTATTTAATTTATTTTACTGAAGGGTGATTCAATCCAGAACAGATTCTTGATTGATCGGTAAAGTATCTAAAATTCAAATCAAGACACATTTACTATCATAGAATTTTTGATACAGTATACCTCATGCTTATTCTCATATGACTGTTGAAATTTCTGTTGAACTTCATGACAAACTTCTTCTTTTTCTTTTTTCTCCGAAAAGGGTAGAACGGCGCAACTGATTTTCTACGATAGACCTGATCAAACTGGACCCAAATTCAGTGACTACAACATTACTGAAGTCGCCAACCCTGACAGTCTCAAGGTAAGCAAATTGATTAGTTTAGTTGCTTACTGTTTCTCTACTTAGAATGAATAAAAGGACATGTGCGTCCGTCCAAGAACGTCTAACAATAACTCAAAGTGCGGTTATCAATCTTCACAGTGTCTGGATTTAAACAGGAAAGCCTAGCTCGTCCCGTTTACGTATTATGATTTTTAAAATTTAACGGCCTATAGATGTTACATCACATTAAAAGATAGTTTAAATTGTAATAAACCTTAAAATTACATTTCATGAAACCTAAATTTATCTCATTGACTACTATCATGACTTTATTTATTTTATATTTTGTTATTATGTTGTCTATATACATTAAGACCAGGCTCCTCTTTTCTATTTTGACTTTTTCTTAGAATTGTCATTCCAGAGTAATTTGAAATGATTTAATAGAATTGTTTCATGTTTTTTTATTTTCTGTTTTTAATTTACTTTCTGCGATGCGAAAGTACATTGGCTGTCAAATAAGATTCAATGTCGGTAAATTGTCAGATCAAGCACCTAAGCTCAAGTTTAGAAACTACCAACACATTTGAAACGATACTATCTAATCATGAATGATGTTTTACTTGTACTAGTATTTCTATCGTTAAAACTACAAATGATATATGTATGTAATTGTCCTCACTGATTTTGTCAAGCGGAAGCCAGATAAAACGATCCTACAATCAGTTGTCATCGCTGTCATCTGCGTCGTTAACATTTAGGTTCAGTCTGGTTAAAGTTTTTTTCTGACACCAGTTACTTTGTCAAAACGTCATGGAATTTAATAAAATTTGGACAGCAGCTTTAAAATGATCATAACAGGACCCAAAAGAAAATTTTGAAAATATTTTTTTCCCCGTATTTTACTGATAAATGGACTTAATTTTTTTGGCAGTTTGCATTATTAAGATACAGTTTGAAATTAATGTTTCCAACATCCATAAACATTTCGTAGAATTTCATCAAGCTGGAATTTTTTATTGTTGATTTTTATGCTCCCGCCGTAGCGGAGGGGGCATTAAGTTTTACCCTTGTCCGTCTGTACGTACGTACGTACGTACGTACGTACGTCCCAAAATTTGTTTCCGTTCTCTAACTTAAGTTTGCCTCAACCAAATGTTATGAAACTTATACATAATGCTTATTACCACAAAACAAAGATCAAATTTGAATTTTGGTGACGTCACGTTTACCGTTCTAGAGTTATGCCCCTTTACAAATGGAAAAATTGCTGAATTTTTCATTTCCGTTCTCTAATTTTAGTTTGCCTCAACCAAATGTTATGAAACTTATACACAATGCTTATTACCACAAAACACAGATCAAATTTGAATTTTGGTGGCGTCACTTTTACCTTCTAGAGTTATGCCCTTTACAAATGGAAAAATTGCTGACTTTTCGTTTCCGTTCTCTAATTTTAGTTTGCCTCAACCAAAATGTTATGAAACTTATACACAATACTTATTACCACAAAACACAGATCTTTGAATTTTTGTGGCGTCACTTTAACCGTTCTAGAGTTATGCCCCTTTATAAATGGAAAAATTGCAAAATTTGTATTTTCTTCTAAATATCAAGTAATTTTGTAAAATTGGAGTTATCTTCCTTTGTCCATGATTATAGTTGAATCAACTACAATCAATGCTTTATACAATGCAATGTTTAATATTGACTTCCACTGATAAAACACAGATCAAGTTTGAATTTGGGTAGTGTCACTTTAACCATTATTGAGTTATGCCCCTTTATAAATCGAAAGATTGCAAAATGTTTAGTTTCCATTCTGTAACTTAAGTTTGCCCAACCAAACATTATGAAACCTATACACAATATTCATTACTACAAAACTAAGATCAAGTACAAATTTTTTGTTTCCGTTTTCTAACTTTAGTTTGCCTCAACCAAATGCATGAAATGTTATGAAACTTATACACAATTCTTATTACTACATAATACAGATTAAGTACGAAATTTGGTGGCGACACTTTTACCATTCTTGAGTTATTTCCCTTTACAAACATAAAAATTGCTGAAATTTCGTTTCCGTTCTCTAACTTTAGTTTGTCTCAACCAAATGTTATAAAACTTATACACAACCGTTCTAGAGTTATGCGTGTTTACAAACAGAAAAATTGCTGAATTTTTAGTTTCTGTTCTCTTCTTAAGTTAGCCTCAACCAAATGTTATGAGACTTACACACAATGCTTATTACCACAAAACTCAGATCAAGTTCAAATTTGGGTAGCGTCACTTTTACCGTTCTTCAGTTATGTCCCTTTATAACTATATGATATGCAAGCGGGGGCATCATCTGTGTCCACATGTGGACACTATCCACATTTTTTTTCCATATTTTACTGAAAAAAGGACGACTTAATTCTTCTTTGCAGTTAGCGTTTCACTGCAATCTAGGGTTAAAGTTGTTAATACAGAATTTACAACTTTAACTCTGGATTGCAGTGAAATGCTACCTGCAAAGAAGATACATCAATAGCCCAGACAAACAGTAATTGAATTTCCCAAACGTTAGTATGAGCAGTTAGATCAAACACTCAGTCTGGTAGGCACACTATCAAAATTATGTCAGGGCAGGGTCACCTCTCCTTAGGACTTAAATCGTGTAGTATAGTATGATTCAAGTTATATTTACAGGACACTAAGCTTCACCCTTTGTGTTGTGATGCACTATAAATAATTTACAGTACACGTGACTTCAAAGGAAAAATGCATCTACCATTCCGCAAACCAAGTTATAGAAAAGTATATATATTTAAATGACATTAAGATTCTATCGTTCTGCATATGCGTGCAATATCGGCCTTAGAAGACGTTGATCAGCCACAAAACAGTCCGTCGAGTACTTTTGATTGACAGACAATGACATTGAACAAAGTCTTTGAGACCGAAATATTTTCTTACGGCAGTCGAAATCCAAAAATAATGTTTTCATCGTTTTACAATTTGCCGTTTCAGAACCACAAGCATTGTCAGTAGTTTCCTTGTTTGTACATGTTGTACACCTGAACGAAAATAAAGTTACGCAACTTCATGCTTAAATCGCTCTTAACCAACCACAACGTTTTTGTGTCCATCAGTGTTCTCGAAATATTTCCCCCCTGGTGGTCCTTGAAGAAAATCTGCTGGTCCTCACTATTATTTCCATTGCAAAATACCAAAATTGTGTCAGTCCTTTGAAAATGTTGGTGGTCAAAACCTTTGGACCACCACTTTTCGAGAACTCTGGACATTTTGAAGATTTAACCTTAATTCATTAAATTTGAAATGGATTGTTATTTCAATTATTCTTACACTACATTATTTAATTGCACCTTTTAAAATATTGTTTTGTACGCAGGAGACCCTTGGTAAATGTCTTGGTATAAAGGGAGAAGTGAAGAAAACAAGAACTCTTTATATGGTAGGACAAACACGTGTCCACATCGACAAAGTTCATAATCTCAATGATGGTGACTTCATGGAGCTGGAGGTAAATATATTCCTGTTTTGAGCTCTTAGCTTTAAGTAGTAAATACTGTAGCTTAGCTAATAAGGTACACGTATATCAATTGAATTATGGTGCATTTGTACCTTAGCTTGCTATAAAGCAAATTTCATATTAAAAGGATGACCAATTGTAAGTGACTGAACGATGTCGAACTATATTTTTGGGGAATCTGCACATGATAGCTTATGTTATGAGACTGTGAATTTTTAAACAAAGGTCGCTTTTTTCTGTATAAAATTTCATTTAAACCTTAAAGATTAACGTGTGAGGTGGAGATACTTTGAATTGTTCTCTGAGTGGTTTTTAATTGTTCTTTGATTGATTTTTAATTGTTTTTAATAATTGTATTGCAGGTTGTGATGAAAGACGGACAGACAGTGGAAGAAGGACAAAGCATTGCTGATGATTTAATGACCAAACTTGGAATCTCAAAATCAGATCTTATATCTGGTGCCTATATAGACATGATTTTAGGAAAAAGTTGAATTTACTGAATGCTATTGTTTGGATTAATATTAGGGAGCTATGAATAATAATTTCAATGTGTTCTATTCACTTTTCATTTTTCATTTTTCATTTTTATTTTAGTTAACAACACTGTATAGGCTTATGTAGACTAATTGTGCAATTCTGGTCACAAAATGTTATCATTTTCGATTTGATGATTGAAAATCATTAAAATAAATGAATGTAAACATCATGGCATGTGTGTATATCAATAACATTGGTAGAGTATAAGTTATGTGTCTTCTCTGAACGCATTTAATACCAACTTGAAGTATTTTTTGCACTAACACAATGTTGGACGACACACATTTGAGTGATACCAGTTGATTTTGGTCAAAGGGATGGTTTGCATTAAACAAGAATGTATACTGCTTTTTTTCATTTCTGATATTCATGATATTGGTAAATCAATAAAAAAAAACATCATATTGCAAACACGAAATTTAAGGTCTTAAGCTGCAATTGTAAATTGTTAAACTTTTAAGTTATAATCATGTTAGTAAATGATTGCGTATAATACATCACTTGAGGAACATGTGTGACTCTTTTGCAATGATATAGTTTGTATCAATTCGAACTTCTAACACTGGTAAATGAATGTATTTCAAAATATATGATGCATTGAACAATGTGTCAAAATAATTATTTAGTAAGACCGATACATGAAATATTATTTTCATAAATTTACCTGATGAAACATTCACATTCGAAGGTATTCATACTTTTACTTTTAGTTGTGTAAATGTATATATAACAGATTTAAGCAGTCAAGTCGGGAATCTCGTATCTATCTCTTATAGGCCTTGCTTGGTTTTTGTCCTTTTAAAGAATTTGATGTAAATGGTAGATCATTTGCAGTCTCGGTAAAATTTTCCATTTTTCTTCTTCTAAATTCGAACCGAGGTTATTTATGATTCGACATGTGGTATAGACACTCTTCAATTGTTGCAATGTCTTTTGCAGTTTGTTATTTGTAGTATTGCTCTAGTTTTTAAATCTATATCTCCATTCATGCACTGCTTTTGGTTTGATGATTGTTTACAATGGTATGTTTTATGATAAGTATAGCGTTATTATGGCGTTGTCAGTTTATTTTCAACTTATGAGTTTGATTGTCCCTGTGGTATCTTTCGCCTCTCTCTTATAGAATATAGAGCATGTGTGCATCATTATTTATAAAATAGTTACAGAATACAAAAGCAAATACAAGGAAATTTAACAAATCGAAAATCTAATTGACATTCATATTAAGCTACTGAAAAGAAACACAAAACAAAACGTTAGAGACATCACTTACACCGCATTTATAATTTACACTGAGATTTGAAAAGACTCCATTGAAACGATCCGAGTGATTTTATTTGTTGATGAAGGGTATGAAAAAATCAGTGATGAAAGAAATCTGGTCATAAATCAGAAGACAGTAGGACATATGTCAATTGTCATTTAAAAATGTTCACACTTAATTGGTCCAAACCAATTATTGCATTGCCGCAGTAAAATAATCTTGACTGAGTGCTTTGTGAAACTATGTTGGAGCACCTGAGCTGATAATGACCATGGGTAATTTTTTGGCAAGGTTCATGTTGCTTAGTCTACGTAGTGTTTTGTGTACCGTTTTTTGTCTGATTATTTTTTTTCTTATGCCGTTGTGTTGGTTTTTGATAATCAGTTGGTATTGTGTTGCATTTTCTTATATTTTGTTTAAACTATTTTTTTTTATAACGCATCAAGTCTTGAGCGTTGAATTTCGCCAATACGGATATTGTCTATGTTTCGAAAGTTCTGGTTTACATACAGGATTCCTGAGTAGCTAACAGTATTCTCTTTGATACTGATAAAGATTCTAGTTTAAAGTGAAAACATACGTTGTATGAAAACATATTTTATTAAAAAAGACAAATAGTTATAAAAGTATAAAAATGATTAATTTAGGAATACATATATAAAAAGGAAATTAGATTAATAATTTAGTATATGACAGCACTATGTTGGATTTCACAAAATCATTTGGATAATTGTCCGGACTCTTTCATGCTTGAAACCTGAAAATACCAAAAAATTATAAATTTAGCATTCGATCAAAAAAGATTTGAACTGTTCCCTGTTAACGAACCTGGTACCAATAAACGGCACAGATTTCCATTACAGCACGGTATACCGATGAAGCAAGCAATGTATCTGATCTGGATATAAATTATTTTATTTAGATTAACATGATACTCTTTATTCTACATGTTGTCTAAGTTAAATAACAAAAATACCGAACTGCAACGGAAATTCAAAACGGAAAGTCCTTTATAAAATGGCAAAATTGAAAGCTCAAACACATCTAACGAATGGAAAACAACTGTCATATTCCTGACTTGGTACAGACTTTCCGTATGTAGAAAATGGTGGTTTAAATCTGGTTGTATATTGCTGCATGAACTCATATTAATCCCACCACATTCTTTACTTTTGTGCACGCGTCCCAAGTCAGGATTCTGTTATTCATTGATTGTAGAAGGTTGCTGTTGGAGTTTGCAACATATAGGTGTTGTTCATTATTGAAGGTAGTACTCTCTTGATCTCTGATAATTATCTCCTCGGTAATTATCTTCTTATCATTATACTCGTATGTGCAATGGAATTTTCCAAATGCTTTTATCCACAAATTACAAAATTGATAGATAAAATAGTGTACAATGTAGGTCTCTAAATAAGTGTTGATACAAATTCCGAATTTCCATGACAGCCAAAGGCAGAAAATATACAAAAAAAAAGACGTCAAACTTACTTTACTGAGTTGCTCCAATCTCCATGTCTAGAGGTTGTATGTATGATGAACATATATTGATATGACAGCCTCTACAAAGTCTTCCGTTGTATCGATACAATGTAGGCATTTTACATCTAGAAGGACATGAAACGTACGGGCATCTAAGAATCGGGCATCCTCTGTTCAAATAGTTCTCACTCAAAGTTATCGGACTGAATGATAGTTGAGCTGAAAATATTCGTAATAATTAATGAAAATAAAGGTGAAAGAAACGATGCATTAATATGATAAACATGAAAATAAAAGTGAAAGAAAAGATACATTAATATTATGACAATAATATTTTATAAAATGATTCATGTAAATTACGTTAAAGAATAACTTGCATCATAACTCCAATTAGTGAGGAACAATTCAAATAAAAACGTTTTTTTTTTAATTAGAAATAACGAAGCAAATTTGAACATGTTTAGAATTATTTAAGGTGATTTTACAGGTCCAGATTTGTCGGTTGTATGAACGTATATTTCTTGTATATTATATTTTTATGAGTTGTACATATTTATACATCATCAGTATCACTAAAAACATTTACTTATTATAGGGCTAATTTAACCTGAACATTAATTTACGCTAGAGTCATGTTTAAAATGATTGTCAATCGTTTACTAATATATACAGCTGTGTTAACGGCGTTTCTTATGTACTTTGAAGTTGTAACAACATTATGTCGTATTTCATACCATGTAATAACATGATAAATAATTGAAAATGGTTCAAATTTGCATTTTGAAAATAAGGATTAACATTGATTAAAAAAACTAATCAGAAGGAACTTTATCCAGCTATACGTACTGTATTTCAGATGTAAATTAATGATTTTATAATTGATTATAGATGTCCTTCAATGCATAAGTGTAGCAAACAAAACAAAAAAACACAAATAATTTGTAATACTAGATTTTTGTGATATCAAAACCACATTTAAAAGGAGTTTTCCCCTCTATTACATTTTGATATGAACGACTGAATGTGAAATTGATGATCACCCATCTTAGCATATTATTGAGAATCTTTACCATTAAAAATCCAGTTCGTGTTCATTTCATCGACATTCGAAATTTGACCCCCGGATTTACATATGGAGGGGAAGTTGACTATACCTCTTTTTTTAGTTTGTAACACGACGAAGCGTTTCTATAACAAACGTAAGGAAGAAAAAAACTATTGTTGTTACTCAATAACACAAAAGTTCCATCCGTAATGAGAAAAAATATAATAAAACGTTTAATAGAAGAAATGATTAAACGGGTGTCAGTTCTTCTATACATTCTGCCATTAAAATTTAAAATTCCAATTTAGTTTCTAAATTTAGGATAAACGTATTTAAAATAAGTCTAACTTCCTCTAGTTCGTTTCTGATTGACTTGGAAATGTGATTACTCGGTTGTTTTTAAAAGCTTTCAAGCGTTTTCAAACATGGTCATGAGGATACCCAGATAAAGGTTTTTCCAGAAACGCATGTAGTATATTGGTCTATATAAATTCATGAAGATTCAAATAGAGAAATATAACAAGACAACTTTAACATAAAAACAAAAAAGCCAAAAGTTTCTCACTCAAAAATAAAACAGAAAGTGTCTCACACAATAATGATAAACTAACTTACCATTTACATCAAATGTCAACATTAAAGCGCAAAGTAAAGCGACATTTCTCATGTTCATCTTTTGTTTATAATTAACTGAAGTGTGTTAAAACTAAATAAAACTCGAAAGTATTTATACAAATAAGGTCCTAAATTGTACGAAGGTGACAGAGCGTAGTATGTGGTTTGATGTGTGACCTCATAAAACAATGGAAGTGATTCAGTTAGTGTCCTCCTAAATGAAAATTAATTATAACTAATGTCAGAAGGTATCTAATTAACACAAATATGCGTAAAACCATCATTCTAGAATTTGAACTGTGTGTTGTTGCGTAAGAGAAACACTTTCGCTATTATCAGTACTGCATATGAAGGTGAAAGAGTACTAATTGGTCTATACTTGGATCTGATAAATAAAAAAGGAACGCTTGGAAATGTATATAGTGAATTAGATAGGAGAAGCTGTGGTAGACATCATTGCCATACCCCTTTGTTGACATACATGCTATCTGTGTTTATAAATAAATCTGATTGATGCACAGGAAAATTTTAACATGGATCTCTAAATGAATTAGGAGAGGCTGTGGTAGACATCTTTGTCATACCTCTATATGGACATGCATTTTTTCTGAACGTTAAGATACATCTTGGTTTATAAAGTCTGATAAATAAAATAAGGAAATGTACTGACTCAATGAAACAGAAGAGGCATAGGTAAACATCTCTGCCATACCCCTAAGTGGAAGTACACATTTTCAGAATAAAACAATGTATCTTAGTTTTT